CGCCCAGCCCGGCCGCCCGCCGCCCCCGCCGCAGCCCGCGCCGCCCGCCGGCATGATGAACAGCAGCGGCTACTCGGACGCCGCCGGCTTCGGCCGGCGAGCGCAGAGCAGCCCGGGCCGTGGCACGGGTCGCAGCCGGTTCGAGGCCCGCTCGTGCTCGCTCTCGGCGCCGCGCCCCGGCCCTCGGGGCTCCTGACGCTCGTCCCGCAGCTCGCCGCGCCGCGCTCTCGCCGCCGCCGCCAGGATGCCGGCGACCGAGAAGGACCTGGCGGAGGACGCGCCGTGGAAGAAGATCCAGCAGAACACGTTCACGCGCTGGTGCAACGAGCACCTCAAGTGCGTGAACAAGCGCATCGGGAACCTGCAGACCGACCTGAGCGACGGGCTGCGGCTGGTCGCGCTGCTCGAGGTGCTCAGCCAGAAGCGCATGTACCGCAAGTACCACCAGCGCCCCACCTTCCGCCAGATGCAGCTCGAGAACGTGTCCGTGGCGCTCGAGTTCCTGGACCGCGAGGGCATCAAGCTCGTGTCCATCGGTGAGTCGGCCGGCCGCGCCGCGGGGTGCCGTCCCGCCCCGGAAGGCGAGGGCCCCGCCGCGCGCCTCGCAGGCGGTCCTCGCCGGCCCAGGTGCGGGCACCGGCCCTCCGCCTCGCCGTCCTGTAGGGCGGGGCCTGTGTCGCCGGTCGCCCGCCGGCAGCTTTGCCTCCGCGGGCCCCAGCTCCTCAGTCCGGGCGGCCGGCGGCCCCTGCTCCTCAGTCCGGCCCGGGCGGCCGGCCCTGCGTCCCTCAGTCCGGAGCCCCGCCGCGCGCCTGCTCCCAGCGCGGCCGGGAGGCGGCGGCCTGCTCCTCAGTCTTGGCCCGGCCCGCGGCCTGCCTCCTCAGTCTGGCCCGGGAAGGCGCCTGCTCCTCAGTCCTAGGCCGGGGGGCGCCCTGCTCCTCGTCCTGGCCCGGGGGGCGGCCTGCTCCTCAGTCCGGCCCGGAGGCGCGCCAGCTCCTCAGTCTGGCCCGGGGCGGCCTGCTCCTACAGTCCGGACCGGCCGGAGGACCTGCTCCTCAGTCCCTGGCCCGGGGGCGGCCCTGCCACTCGTCCTGGCACCGGGGGCGGCCCTGCTCCTCAAGTCCGGCCCGGCCGGAGGCTGCTCTCAGTCCTGGCCCGGGGGGCGCTGCTCCTCAGTCCTGGCCCGGGGGGCGCCATGCTCCTCAGTCCTGGCCCCGGGGGCGCCCTTGCTCCTAGCCCGGGCCAGGTGGGGGGGAGGCCTGCTCTCAGTACCGGGCCAGGTGGGGGGCAGCGCTGGCTTTCAGTCCGGCCCGGGGGGCGGCCTGCTCCTCAGTCCTGGCCAGGGAAAAACGCCACAAATCTCAAGTCCGAGCCGGGGCGCGCCGCCTGCTCCTTCAGTCCTGCCCCGGGGGGGCCCTCTTCTCAGTCGGCCGGCCGGCGCCCTGCCCTCAGTCGCCCGGCCGGCGGCCCTGCTTCCTCAGTCCTGGCCGCGGGGGCGGCCCAGCTCCTCAGTCCTGGCCCGGCCGGCGGCTCTGCTCCTCAGTCCTGGCCCGGGGGGCGGCCATGCATCCTCAGTCCGGCCAGGTGGGGGGGCGGCCTGCTTCTCAGTCCGCGGCGCCCGGGGCGGCCCTGCTCCTCATCCGGGCCGGGGTGGGGGCGCCTGTGCCTCAGTCCTGCCGGGGGGCGGCCCTGCCTACCTCCAGTCCGGCCAGGTGGGGGGCGCGCCTGCTCCTCATCCTGCCGGGGCGGCCCTGCTCCTCAGTCCGGGCCGGACGCGCGGCCCTGCTCCTCAGTCTGGGCCCTGGGGCGGCGGCGTGGAGCGCCGTCCCGACACGCGCGGCGAAGTGCCCGCCTCGGGCGGCAGGGGCGAGCATGGTCCGGGCGCGCCGCGGCGCCGGACTGGGCGGACCGCGGGCGGGGCGGCTCAGCGCGCAGGCCGGGCCAGGCGCCTCGCGCGGTCAGGGGCGTCCTGGGCTCAAGCGATCCTCCTGCCTCAGCCTCCCGAGTAGCTGGGACTACAGGCATGCACCACCATGCCCGGCTAATTTTTTATATATATATATTTTAGTTGTCCAGCTAATTTCTATTTTCTTTTTAGTAGACAGGGTCTTGCTCTTGCTCAGGCTGGTCTCAAACTCCTGAGTTCAAATGATCTGTCCACCTTGGCCTCCCTGAGTGCTGGGATTACAGGCGTGAGCCACCGCACTGGGCCTATACTGTACTTTTACTGTAGCTTTTTTTTATGTTTAGATACGTTTAGATACACAAATGCTTCCCATGTGTCACAGCTGCCTACCGTGTTCAGTACAGCACACGCTGTGCAGGGCTGTGGCCTGGGAGCCGTGGCCGTGGCGTGCAGCGCAAGTGTGCGGGGGGCCGGGCCGTCTGTGCTTGTGCACTCGTATTCTTGACAGACTAGCCTGCGCCCCGTCACTAAGAGACGCGGGACTAGTTATTGAGGCCCTATAGTGGACCGGGCCAGGCAGCATCCTCTCTTCCCCAGGCTGCTGCGAGCGTTTCCAGCGCGTGTTACTCTGTCTGACAGAGCACTCCACATTGCTGCGTTGTGCAGCTGGCTCACACCCACTCGCTGGCCAGCTCCGCCCGCAGGGTCCGAAGCCTTGCTCTCTACCCTGCCCCACCCTCTTCCTCAGGAAGCCCATCTGCTCTGAACCCCTGCCCCAAACCTGGATGAGGAGCCCCTTCTCTGGTTGGTGCCTCTCACAGACTTGCATTCCATCTCTGGTTGTGCTGTGCAGCCTGGGCAAGTCGCTCTGTCCCTTGGTCACCTCTTGTCAATGGGGCCAATAGCAAGGAAGGTACTCAGCACTGCTCCTGACGGCCGCAGCAGGTGCTGGAGAAACGCTGGACGTTACAGTCACTCCGGCCCTTGACAACAGGGACCCAGTCTGGGTACCCCGGCACCCAGCACGGGAACTGGTGAGCACAGAGCAAGTGCTCCATATATGGTGTGGGGCAGAATAACAGCCCCCACAGATGTGCATTCCCAGACTGTGAATGTTACCTTACGTGGCAAAGGGGAATAAAGGTTGCAAATAGGATTAAAGTTGCTAATCAGCTGATTTTAAAATAGGGAAATTATCCTGAACTAACCAATGTAACCACAAGGGTCCTTAAAGGAGTTAGAGGGGGCCAGTAGCTGTCGCTCACACCTGTAATCTCAGCACTTTGGGAGGCTGAGGCAGAAGGATTGCTTGAGCCTGGGAGTTCGAGGCTGCAGTGAGTTATGAGGGAGTTATTTTGCACTCTAGCCTGGGCGACAGAGGGGGAAAATGAAACCAACCAACCAACCAAACAAACAGAATTAGAGGGAAATGTGACTATGGAGAACCAGACAGATGATAATGTGAGAAAGACTTAACCTGACGTTGCAGGCTTTCAAAACGGAAGAAGGAGTCACGAGCCAAGATGCACAGGCAGCTTCCAGAAGCTGGAAAAGGCAAGGAGATGGACTCCTTCCTAGAGTCTCTAGGAAAGAATGCATCCTGCCAATACCTTGATTTTAGCTCAGGAAAACCTGCATGGGGCATCTAACTTACAGAACTGCAAGATAGGCTGGTCTTGTGGCTCACGCCTGTAATCCTAGCACTCTGGGAGGCCGAGGCAGGAGGACTGCTTGAGTTCAGTTTGAGACCAGCCTGAGCAAGAGTGAAACCCCATGTGTAATGGGGTTTCTAAAAATAAAAAAAAATAAAAAAATAAAAATACTAAATATAAAAAAAATTAGCCAGGCATGGTGGCGCTTGCCTGTAGTCCTAGCTACTCGGGAGGCTGAGGCAGAAGGATTGCTTGAGCCAGGAGTTTGAGGCTGCTGTGAGCGAGGCTGATGCCACGGCACTCACTCTAGCCTGGATGACAGAGCAAGGGGGGAGGGGGGAAGAACTGCAAGATAGTAAATTTGTGTACTTGGAGACAGAGTCATACGGTGATGTCATTGTAGCTCACTGTAACCTCAAATTCCTGGGCTCAAGATCATCCTGCCTCAGCCTCCCCAGTAGCTGGCACTACAGGGGTGAGTACAGATGGCTAATTTTTCCACAAGTAGCAGAGACAAGGTCTCGCTCCTGCTCAAGCTGGTCTCCAACTCCTGACCTCAAAGGATCGTCCCACCTCGGCCTCCCAGAGTGCTGGGATCACAAGCGCGTGCCACCACTTCCGACCAGCCTCTGTATTCTTTATAAGACGCTAAGTTTTGGTTACAGTAGCAATAAGGAAACCAATACACATAACAAGCATTTCCTGCACATGTTTACTGCTACTGCTAAGCTGTTGGTGATGGTTGACTTTATACTTTTTTCTCCCATTAGGCTACGAACTTGTTGAGGTCAGGGAATAAATCTGCTTCGCTGCCACTGGTTCGCAGGCTCTGCGCAGCCGGGCCCTGACTGAGCCCCAGAAACTGCAGGCGGATGGAGAGCCCGGCCCCGCCCGCCAGTGCAGCTCTGCCTCCGCGGGCCCTGCTCCTCAGTCCGGGGCCCGGCCGGCGCCCCTGCTCCTCAGTCGCCCGAGGCCGGCGCCCTGCTCCTCAGTCGGGCCCGCCGGCGCCTGCTCTCGTCCCGGCCGGGAGGCGGCGGCCCTGCTCCTCAGCTTGGCCCGGCGGCGGCCCTGCTCCTCAGTCTGGCCGAGCGCCCTGCTCCTCAGTCCTGGCCCGGGGGGCGGCCTGCCTCAGTCCTGGCCCGGGGGCCGCCCTGCCCTCGTCACCGGCCCGGGAGCGGCCCAGCTCCTCAGTCCTGCCCGGGGGCGGCCCTGCTCCTCAGTCCGGCCCGGCCCGGAGCCTGCTCCTCAGTCCTGCCCGGGGGGCCGCCCTGCTCCTCGTCCCTGCCCGGGGCGCGCCCTGCTCCTCAGTCCGGCCCGCCGGAGCCCTGCTCCTCAGTCCTGGCCCGGGGGGCGGCCCTGCTCCTCAGTCCTGGCCCGGGGGGCCGCCCTGCTCCTCAGTCCTGGCCCGGGGCGGCCCTGCCTCCTCAGTCCGGCCCAGGTGGGGGCGCCTGCTCCTCAGTCCGGGCAGGTGGGGGGGCGGCCTGCTTCTCATCCGGCCCGGGGGGCGCCTGCTCCTCATCCTGCCCCGGGGCGCCCTGCTTCTCAGTCCGGCCCGGGGGGCCGCCTGCTCCTCAGTCCTGGCCCGGGCGCCTGCTTCTCAGTCCGGCCGGCCGGCGGCCCTGCTCCTCCAGTCCGGCCGGCCGGCGGCCCTGCTTCTCAGTCCTGGCCCGGGGGCGGCCCAGCTCTCAGTCCTGGCCCGGCCGGCGCCCTGCTCTCAGTCCTGGCCCGGGGGCGGCCCTGTCCCTCAGTCCGGCCAGGTGGGGCGCCTGCTTCTCAGTCCGCCCGGGGGCGGCCCTGCTCCTCAGTCCGGGCCAGGTGGGGGGCGGCCCTGCTCCTCAGTCCTGGCCCGGGGGGCGGCCCTGCTCCTCAGTCCGGGCCAGGTGGGGGGGCGGCCTGCTCCTCAGTCTGGCCCGGGGGCGCGCCGCTCTCAGTCCGGCCGCCGGCGGCCCTGCTCCTCAGTCTGGGCCCTGGGGCGGCGGCG